AAAACTTTTTTTTAGCACATCTGAAAAGGCAGCGGCTGAGTAGAGCAGGGATGTGCAAGGGGTCAAATGGAAGTGTTGGTGCAGATTGCAACAGAACGGCTTTTTAAAGGCCCAACACAGAGCTCTGTACGTTTGCTACTTGTTATTCCTCTGTCCAAGTCCCTTCAAGTCACTCGAACAAGTTTGGAGTTGAAATAAAATTCCACGTTGAACAATGGGGTCGGGGTCTCCGGTTCCCTGTCACCGACACCAAAAGTTTCTTAATTGTCCGAGGCGTGATGAAGTGCAGACTCTGGTTGGACAATCCCAACAAGTGCTCTCAGTCCGAGGCAATGAATACAAACACTTGACCCCGACCGACGAGGGCAGCAATTAGGTTCAAGGGAGGGATTGTGTGCGCAACACGTCGAAATCCAAATCCGTGCAGTCGACCCCGCCTTCTTCCACACAGCACGGTATTTGCGAGACCTCATTGAGCATCTCCTTAATGAGCCTGCCACTGAGATTCAATACGTTCACGGCTGCTTTGGATGCTCTTAATGCCGCAGTCTATATGGTATTGTGCGGTCGGAGAAAGGCCTGGTCTTAGAGTGTACGGCTGTGTTACAAAAGGGAAAGGCAGAGAGTCTTTAGACCAAGGCTAGGGTTGTTTGCATATCAATATGGTTTGCTCTTGAATGCATTCACTCATCTGATTAATAGGATCACTATCGGCATTCAAGGCTTTCACATGCACTTTGGGGGGAGAGACTTTTAAAGCTGTGACTGAGAATAATTTGGTAGAACGTTGCGAGGAACAAAACCCAAACACGAGGAGCGCAGTCCATCACCCAGACCTGCCAGCGAAGCTGACAACTCGTTCCAGCAGATGTGACATACCCTCCCCCCCTTGCCCCTGCAGGTTAGTCCACAGAACACTTTCATCTCAACAGACTCCCTGCCTTTTTTTTAAAAGACATTTTGTCCCTGAATTATACAGTTTGGGGAAAGTGCCAAAAGGACTGTTAATGGATGGCGCATGGTGACTTTTCCTGGCAGAGATAGAATTTTTGCTCAGCTAAATAAAATTGTGTGTGTGTGTGTGTGTATGTATGTCAGTTAGTGTGTCTGTCTGTTGTGTGTGTGTGTGTGTGTGGCGGGGGGGGGTGCGGAATAGCCATTTTTGATTAAAAAAGTCTACTTTAACTACAGTACTAATTACAGTCAATTCAATTTACAGTTTATGAAGCGCTTTGAGACGTCTCGATGACATAAGGCACTGTAGCAAATGCAAGGATTATTATTATTACTGTTTTATTTCTTTGTCCACAGTTTTCATATTAATCGGTTCCTTGTAACAAAGTTGTGTTTAAGTCTTTGCAACTAAGGACGGTGAAAGGATGGAGTTCCAGAAGTGGGGGCAGACAGGCTGAATGCCTGAGTGCCAATGGTGGGGTAGGTAGGACGGGGGACATGGAGCAGGCTGGTGAAGCATTATCTGATTACCAGAACATGAGAGATGAGTAAATATTTCAATCACAGCCTTACACGGCCAAGTCTGTCTGAGAAAAAGTACCGGTTCCCAGATCGGATCCAACAACAAAAAGTACAGGAATGCATTTTCGGTTATTCAACAAATAAATTGCAAACTCAATAATTATGCCAAGTATTTCTGTATTTATTCAAAAGCAAAATGAGCGCGGAATAAATATTTTACATAACGAAGCCAACTCTGCTTCTCGTGATGCAATCCTGGATTAACAGCAGCCCATTGGGGTCTAAAATGCGGGTTGGGTTGAGTTTGGGTTATTGTAAGACTATGGGCTGTTTGCCCAACCCGCAATTTAGTCTCCATTGACCTGTGACATCGCACACTCAATATCAATCTTTAACTTGTGAACAGAAAGGAGAGCAATGAAATGTCGTACAATATACTTGTTTTGTGCAGTCTGCCTAACTTATAGGAACCTGCACTGTGATTTACATTGGCCCTGGATGGCTGTTTAGGGTTTGCTGAACCCTAAGACGCCATATGACCTCTCTCTGGCTGTAGCCAGAGTTTATGCTGCGCAAATAGAAAGAGGTCAGTAGATCGATTGCATTCACTTGTTCCCACAGCGCTGTTCAGCTCCAAAAAGCTGTTCAGACGCCTCCTCGATTTAATTCCCTTAGATGTTTTTTTGTACCAAGGCTTTGTTGCCAAAGAAAAGAAAATCAGTTGTCTTCTGCAGAAGAATCGTGGTCAGTCACCTCTGCTCTACTACATCTGACAATGGCTCCAATTCTGAAGACCCAACTCTCTTGGTCAGTCAGCGAATTGTTCCACTACCTTCAGACTGTAGTGGAACTCATCTTTGGAATCCAATGAATTTCAGGGGTAAATCCTTCTCTACTCTCACTAACCAGTACGTAAAAGTAGGAAAATTACACATTGCACACTGCGGTATAAGGTTGAATTGACCTGGATTTCTGTATTATATCAGGAATGGCTAGATCCTTTGTTGTAAATTACCCCCAAAGGAACCAGAACGTATAAACAAATGCTATTTTCTGCTGGGATTTGGTCTGAGAGTTAACGAGAACCTGCTGAACTTCGAGGGAAGCAGCGAGGTTTACACGATGCAACTAAAGCGAAGGACAAGTTTATAAGAAGAGTTGAACGTAATTGGAATGAGTTGACCAGATGTATCTGCGTTTGACCAGTGAAGCTCATTGGTTTAGCAGTAAACAGTGGCTGGCTGGTTGACTTTCCATTGGAACCTTGCTTTGCAAAGGATAAGCATCGCTTCAACCTCAAAAAAGCACCACTATTAAATAGATCGAAAAAGAAACTGTGCATCAAGTACCATCAAATGTTCCCGGTCCTTCCTGTTAGGACATCAGTAGTGTTCTAAGCTCATTGAAAGAGCAGACATCTTCTCTTTAACACAGGGGGTTCTATTTAGACAATTCCCCTATATAAGCACCAATGTTCTTCTATAAAATGCCGTGTTATGTTTTTTGGGGGAAACGTTTTAGTTGAAACGATTTGTAAAGCTCTTTCTTCATTGAACTATACAGAAACCAAAATTGTTTTTCTTGTGTTGAGTCCACAAAGAGCTAATTTGACAAAAAGCTACTTTAATGACATATAAAAACAGCTGAGGCACATCTCAGAGTAATATTTTGACTGGCTGTTGTATCTCGAAATCAGAAACAATCAACATTAAGTGAAATGTACTAAAGCTACATTGTTCCACGATAAAAAAGGTAAGTCGTAAACTTGGTGCAAAATGTCCATTAGCTTCAGTTGAAAGGAATTATATTAGTTATTCTTAAAATATACATTATCGAATAAAGCAGCAAATCACATCGCTCTAAATCAATGTGCACACAAGAATGAGAATTCAAAATTCAAAGAAGGAATCAGTATTACGAGGATTTTTTTCTCTCTTATTTTAAATAATAAATGACAGCAATGAAATAAAAGCACTGGAAGTTGTGTATGTGTGTGTGTGTGTGGGGGGGGAGGTTGGTTAGGGAGAGGGGGGGACCTTATCATTAAACAAATCTCTAACTCTTTGTGTGACAAATCTCTATGAGAAATGACAATGGTCTGACAAAACCGGTAGTGAAATGTGTGTGAGCCAAATGGCCTCCTTCTGTGCTGTAAGGTTCTATAATTCTATTTTGCAGGGCTAAAGGGTAAGAGCGGGGCAGTGAGACTAGTTGGTAGCTCTTTCAAAGAGCTGGCACAGGCACGATGGGCCGAATGGCCTCCTTCTGTGCTGCAAAACATTATTATTTTTTGGGCAGATCACCGTTATGGAAAATAACATTGACTTGAGAAACGTTTAATCTTCAAAGGATCAACGTCCAACCAAAAAGGAGATGATTTCACTCGGATCGGAAAGATGGAAACAGGAGGCGATGTTCTTTGAAGCAACCGATAAAATTCAGACCAGAGGCACATTGCACGTACTTAGCAGTGGATTAGGACCATAGCAGGAGGCCATTCAGCCCCTCGAGCCTGTTCTGCCATTCTATAAGATGATGGCTGATCTGTACCTCAACTATAAATACAACCTTTGCCCCAAATCCCTTGATATCCTGACCTCACAAAGATCTATCCACCTCAGTCTTGAAACTCTGAATGGATCCAGCCATAATCCACAGCCTTTTGGGGGAGAGAGTTCCAGATTTCCTCCAACCCTTTAGGCGATGGGGCTTCTTAGTTGGGAAGGGCAATACTTGATTTAACATCCCTCAAAATAAACAGAACTTATAATAATCCTGGCATTTGACACAGCGCCTTATCACGTCTTCGAGACGTCTCAAAGTGCTTCACAGGATACACTGTAAAGTGAATGGACTCTATATTTTGTGGGCAAAACGTGGCAGCCAATCGTGCACAGCAGCGTCCCCACAAACAGTCGGGGATTGAATGACCAAATTATTATTATTATTTTGAAGGGATTATTACCCTTGGAAAAGCGCTCTGCTAATCGACTAACAATCACGTTCCTACTTACTGCAAGAGGGGTGTGGAGTAAGGAAACTTGCCCAGTGTTTCATCCTGCCAGGAATCGAACCTGGGTCCTTTTGTTTGCGAGTCGAGTGCTCTAACCACTGAGTCTCCACTACAGGACGTGCTTTGAGCAATGCAGCCCCTGCAAATGAAGAATCCTTAATAGTGGGGGGAAGAGGTTCAGCTGCTGTTCATCTCTCATCTCACGAGATGCGAGACTCAGCCTTTTGCTTTCAGAACAATTTTCGATCTTTAGAAATGTCCGGTGACATTTGTTTGTGAGAAGCCAACTCAGCAGTAAACGCAGCGTTTCAGCACAACGCTCAAAGCAATAATTTGTGGGGATTGGTGTTTTTTTATATACGCGTATACAAAAATAGTAATCGGAAGAGAAACATTCTGTTGCTGCGAGCTTGTCATTTTTTTGAGAGAGAGATTGATATATATATATATATATATATATATGTGTGTGTGTATATATATATATAAAATCAACAATGCAATTTTAACCAGATGAAAAAAAAATGTTGGTTCCCAACTTGCCAGAGAAATTAATTGATTGAGAGGTTGAATGATTGGGCTTTTATATGCAGTTAAATCACCAAGTTGGTGTCTGCACTATATAGAGTATACAGTTCTTTCACTCCCAGCCAAAGTCTTGCCCCGTCATCTGGTAGAACTTCAGGTTAAACGGCCGATAGAACTCTTTAAGCCGCAGCACCACCTCCATGTCTATCTTGGGATGAGTCCTGCCCTTCGATTTCCCCAGACACCGAGGTCGGCTGCTACCTTCAGGCTTCTTGAGACAAGGGAAGCCTTTGGTCTCATTAAAATAGAAATGCTTGTCCGAAATCACTCGCTTCAGCCCCAGAAAGTCCTGGACTCGGCCCATTTCCCCGGCTGGGTCGCTAACCAGCCGCTCCCCGCTGACGAAGAGAATCCTGGACAGCGGGAAGTACTGCAGCCAGTTCTCCAGGTGTTTGGCGTAAATCCCAATGCGGACAGCGCTCCAGGAGGTGTCGATCAGCCCCGTGCTGACGTTCTTGAACGTCAACGTCCTGAAGCTGGGCACCGTGGGGTTCTTGGACAGGGTCTGGGTGTAGTCCGAGATGGCCCTGGTCACCGGATTCCTGACCACCACGATCAGCTTGGCGTCTTTAGACATGGAGAAGATACGCTTCGGGGCTTCCTTGGTGACAAAATAACTGGGCGTTTTCTCCATTGTGATCTGGCCTTCCAGGGTCCTCGGCATCAGGCTCCTGAGGGACAGAAGAGCGAAAGCATTCAGGGTTAAATCACCAAAACACAACATGGCAAGATCTCACCTGGTATTTGTTTACTCGTATTACTTTGTGTTTCTGTCCAATAATAATACTCCTTGTACTTGATACAGTGCCTTATCACGTCATCGATACATCTCAAAGTGATTCACGGGATATACTGTAAAGTGGAGTGACTGTGTATGAAACGTGGCAGCCAATGGGGTGCAGCAATGTCCGACAACCAGTCTTGGATTGAGTGACCAAATTATTATTATTATTTTTTTTGGAAGGGATTATTAGCTCCCAGAAAGTGACCCGCCAATCGACTTACAAGCGGGTTCCTACTCACTGCTGATAAACAGAGGTGTGTGGAGTAAAGAAACTTGCCTAAGGTTTTGCCCTGCCCAGGAATCGAACCCGGGGCCTCTCGCTTGCGAGGCGCGTCCTCTAACCACGACACAGTCCAAGAAATGGAAAGTGAAAGAAAACAAACTCATTTGCGTTTTTGGCTTGTTTCCCACCCTGGGCTGGGAGGACAGGTCACAGTTATATGTCTCTTCTCTCTGCTCACCCTTAGGTCTGTATCTGAGCTCACAGCAGGAAGCCAGCCAGCTCCAGGCCATGAGTCTAAGGTCACCTTTTACCACGTGGCTCCCTTTAACCTGGGAGCCGCTTCACGCCAACACTTAAGCGGATTTTAATGGAAAAAACAAGACAGTGTTCGTCAAGCGAACGTGTGAAACTGCACTTCAAAGACTGAGAGCAGTGCACGTTACATCGAGGGTGAATGTAACCTCCTCAAACTCTTACACAACAAGCATTTCACATGGCACATCAGGCATCCTTGTGGCCTTTTGAAGTGAGGCAGCCCCTGGTGCCTCCACTTACAGTTTGAGTCATTTACTAAGTGTTGCTTTGGAATACACAGCTCCACCAAGTCTCTCTCCTCTCCCTCTACACCTCTCCCATTCACATCCGACAGTTGAACACGGGCAGCTATAAAGTGCTGCGATATACATTCTAGCCAGCCACATGCATAACCATGTTTATGATAGTCTCGATTTCCAATTCTGGGCTTCCTAGAAGAGGATAACATGCTTCAGTTACAGGCTCAGTATCACATTCACTAAAGCCTTCCATAAAATCACAATGTGTGCCAAAAGCGAAATGTATTTTACATTTAAAGACTGTTTTTTTTTGGTTCTGACCGTTTTTCCATTCAGACATATGGATCCCATTCCTGCCGCACGATTAAAGGCTGTGACTTTGCTGTGTAAAGCACCGGAAAGCTACTGTCATCTCTGGATTCAGGCTTCAGGGCAAGTGATTGTCTTCGGGAGTGGGGGTGGGAGAAGTGTGTAAAAAAAACTAAATACTGTATTGTGTAATTGAACCAATCTACGCCGGTTACGATAATAATCCTTGCATTTCGTAGAACGCCTTCTCATGTCATTGAAACCAATCCGAAGGAGCTTCACAGTATTTTACTGTAAAGTGTAGTGACTTAACACGTTGGACAATATGCACACAGGGAATGTTCCATAAATAGCCACATTTTATGTGGGAGATTGTTGGCCAGAACATCAGGAGAAACTTCTTGTTAACCAGCACCCCTGAGTACGTAATAATAATCGGTGCATTTGATGTAGCGCCTTATCGTGTCTTCGTGACGTTTCAAAGCGCTATACTGTAGAGCGAAGGTATATTTTGTGGGCGAAAAAGGTGTATAAACTGAAATGGCAACGCACTGCACTTCCTCTCAATTACTGTGACTTGGGCTCATCCACCCGTTCAAGTCTTCGCTCTTTGCAAAAGATTTCACTTGTGTGTCGCCTCTCGTCAGCCATCCCTGCCTCGTCCATGCGCATTTTCAGCCCACGTTTGCTTTTAACAGGTTTCTCTTATCATGACAGCCAGTCAGCCCCTCGAGGGCTCATAACTCCCTCTAAAGAGGTGATGTGCTGAAAATAAAACTGCACAAAACTCCAGCCTTTGCAAAAACAACGGCTGGTTTATTTCACTGCAAACGGGCTCATTGTGAGCTGAGTGTGTCTGAATAGAGCGACAGTGTAAGGCAATGAGGCTTCTTCCCACTTAAAACCAGGCGCGTTGGAAGCGATAATAATGGCAATGTGTCGTGCTTAATTTTCATTAAAATAAATCCTCCTCCTTCTCCTCCTCAAATATTTATTGCTTCCTATCTATTTCCCCAAGCGAGGGGGGGGGGGGGGGGGGGAATGGGGGAGGAAAGAAAATAAAGTATGGGAAGGGAGGAAGAGGAAAATGATCAGTTACCGAGTGATATGTGAGTCAGCGAGCCCACACATCACACTCCCCAGTCAGAAAATCATTAAATGGGAAAAAAAAACTCCCAGCAGTTCATTCTGCTCCCGCAATATGTCAACTCCACTCGTTCAGTCTGACTGTCTGTCCCTCTCTGATTCCTTCGTCTCCTAGCCTTTGCTCTTCAGTGCCCCCCACATACTCCTCCACCCCCCACTCCCCCACTCCCTCTCCTTCTCAGAGCTGACACTTCACAAATCTTTGGCTTTGTGTTTGCGACGTTGGCTCAGGCTGGTCTGTCAAAGGCTTGTCACAGCCAGTTACCTCACTGGCAAGTCAGGGGAGGAAGGAAGGAAGAGTGTGAGATGTGAATCTCCAGGCCAGCAAGAATTCAGCCATAAATCCTGCCCCCACTCTTGTCATGCAAGGTCCATAAAGAAATGCCACAGACACACTCCCCCCCCAATCCCCGACACTCTCTCATACACATTCTGCTGTGTTATAACAATAATACTAATAATTCCTTGCGGTTGATACAGATTGTCTCAAAGCGCTTCACAGACTATAATGTAAAGTGAATTGACTGTGTGTTTTGTGTTGTTACAGCGACACGACACATCACGTTAAAAACAACTATTCATTTGTTTCCAAATAAGAGCATTTAATGTTTTCTTTACACACCCAAGAACCAAATTGCTAAAACCACCAAAGTAATAATTTCTCCCTCCTCCTCCCACGCCCCACCCTACAATTTACCCCCACCCCCAAACCAACATCCCCCTCCCCAGGGGGCAAAGGATAAGGAGCAGCTAAAGTGGCTTTGTTCAGGGAGGGAAATATTCTCAGCAACAGACGAAACCACCAAAAATGCCCAAATGACAAACTCGCTGTGAACAAATAACCATTTGGGAATTTCTTTTTCAATTGTATTTTTTTTTATGTTCATTTTTTTCTCCTGTTATGATTAATGTTAGCACATGGCGGAGCGGGGTGGTGGGGTGGGGGGAGCAGTGTGTGTGAGGGGGCAGAGTGGGGTGGGGGGAGCAGTGTGTGTGAGGGAGCAGAGTGGGGTGGGGGGAGCAGTATGAGGGGGCAGAGTGGGGTGGGGGGTGGCGGAGCAGAGCTGTGGGTGGGGGGGAGCTAGAGAAATTCCAGCTGGACATGGATTTGCTCTATTATCTCTGCAGTTCAGAGCGGGGGGGACTTGTGGTCTGAGTCTTGCTGGGACTTGTGGTCTGAGGCTCAGCCGTTGAGACCATGGACTTGGTTTTGGATGGGGTGTGGTGATAGTGGATACGATTGTGTGTCCGCAACCCCCTCACCCCCCAAATCCTCATTGCCCTCCACCCCCAGCCACACATCCCCACCCCCCCATGCCCCAATCCTCACTGCACCCCCTAATGCCCAGCTTTCGTGTCAATCCATTGCCATAATCGCTCTTAACTGCCAAACCGATTCCTATTGTACCGACAATTCTGGTCCTCTGTAACAAGAATGTTTCTGTGCCTCTCCACAGGTTAGCATTCGCCAGCTGTTCTGGTGTCAACGTCCCCACAAGGCTTTGTGGAGAAAACAAGGTTTCGTCAAATAGGGTTTGTCAAACATACAGGAATAAATGAAAACCATCTGAGATGTGCATCTGCCTACGTTTCCTTCAGTTTTCATATGATTAACTAAGTATTTTTAGGCCAAAACCAACACAACAGCCACCAGTAAGTGTTGTGAGGCCACCCAAAACATTTGTTTGAGAACCACTGGTCTAGACCCATTGTCGTCAGGAAGGGCGAAGCTTGGGGAAGAGGAAAGAGCTTATTGCCATGTGCAAACTGTCCAACCCTGAATCCTCACCGGTCTGGATTTTCACTACATACTTCACACACACGGTGTGACAGTGAGAAACTAGAGAGGGTTGTCAGGGGGCAGGGAGCGAGTGGTCTGGGATTTAATCGGCACGATCATTAATTAATAGTTATTGTCTCAATGATGTGATAAGGCGTTAAATCGTGAAGCGCTTTGAGACACCTGGAAGACGTGATAAGGCACTATATCAAATGCGAGGATCATTATTCTTTTTATATCAAATGCAAGTGTTATTATTATTGTTATAATAATGGATGGACTAAGAAGACAAGGTAGAAGTCATGGGGATGAGAATCGTGACGTGTGATGTGCTAATAATCACCGATGATGAAAATGGCCATTAACGAGCCTGACTTTGGGTCTCACCTCCTCCCCCCACCAGAGAAAAAAAACCAAACCCTGTCACTTTGACACCTAATGATGACCGTGATGCTATTCAGCTTGACGGTGATGGTGATAGCGGTGCCGTGGCCCATGAATTGTCTTAACTCAACAACAAGAGAAAAAACAAGAGTCAGGCCAATGAGTCTGAATTATTTGCCCCATGAATCTTGGATCATGCTGTGGAGTATATTTCACTGTGTGACGCTGTAGCAATGTGCCCTGTTTATCTCAGGAAAGTCGTTTTAAAAAAACCAAGATGATTTGTGGCTACCTCTCGGTTTCACGACTTGTTGTTAATAAGAGTTTCAACGCCTTCATAAAGATGAGATCCTTCTCGTTGTGTATAATTGATGAGCAATGTGGAGGCCAACCAGTCAGAAAATATATGGAAATTGCTTTGCAGTTTACACCTCGATGGAAGCGAACCTGGAATTAGCAGCACTTTTTAAAAAAATATATTTCACTAAATA